ATATTCAGAAGGAGACAGCGAAATCCTGCTCATGTGCTGAGGCCAAGAACACAGGTTGTTCCACTTACTGGTTCTATAACTGGGCAAGGTAACATTATTAAGCTCATCTTTGTGAAGATTAAATGAGATCATCATTTAGGTATTTAGCACAAAGCCTTGGCGCGTTGTATATGTTCAATAAACACTAGCACCAACAGTAATAACAATAATGTATCTTGGGAACCACTTTGGCCCTCAGCTAACACATCCATAAAGGCAAGATAATAAACCAGTTCCATAGGTTTGTGTATCTAGTACTCTAGAGAGCTCTTGGGCACCTAACGGGTGCCTAGTAAATGCTAGTTCTCTCTCTCCTTTTCTCCCACCCAGCTCTGACAATGCCCAGTCCTCGGTATGTCTCCCAACGGTGGACAACAGAACAGGGTGAATATGCCCTGCCCATGATACCTGCCCACCTCGATGGCCTAACTTCCTGTTTTGCCCCCTACCTCCTGTTGAACCCATCCCAGACTGCCTACTGGCCCCCCAACCTGCCTAACAGACTCTGTCCCCCACTCGACTCCTGTCCTGCCATATTGACAAATTCACAGCCAGCAGATTATATTCACAGTGTGAGGGAATCATTACCACCTGCTAATATTTTTATAGAATTTCATAAACTTGGTCATTCATGAGTCATTTACAGTACTTTATTCCAATGAAGAGTTCACAAATCACTCAAATGCTGGCAAAATGCATAATAATGAGTAATATTTCAGGAGTCTTTGCATTAACATGTCAGCTTCCAATACTGTAAGAACTAAATTAATTTACCAGGTGCCACTTTGGGTCAGAAGCTTGGGAAGCCCTTTGGGGGCTGGGGTAGGGAGAGTGGGCAGGTGGCAGTAGGTCATGGACGAAGACGGTATTTAGGAAGACATCAATCATCAAGCCAATCACACCCCCTTTCCAGTCCCAGTAAGGGGAGTTCCTGACAAAGAAGGCTGGAGACGTGCAGATTAGGTATCAGATTCTAACTGAGGGTAAAACTGGAAGAAGGATTTCTTAGTGGTTGGAAGCGCAGGGCTTTGGAGGTGGAGAGACGTGGATATGGATCCCAGATTCTACACACCCCAGCTGCGAGACCTTACAAAAGTTATTTCACAGTTATTTGCTTATCTGTAAAATGGTGTTAACATCTACGTCTTAAGTCTCCTGGGTGAAATGAGTTAAATAAGAGAACGTGTATGAAGTATTTAGCGCAGTATCAGCCGTGTAGTGTTCAATAAACGGTAGCTTTAATGATGATAAAAATTCAGGGGCCCAAGGACCAATTATCCCTGGTTATTTCTTATTGTGCAAATCCCCAAGGCTTAGTTCTGAATGCTTTCCTGTTGGGTTTGGGAAGTAGCAAGCAGCATTTGACTTGCATGTGAGGAGCCCTTAACTTTAAAATAAACAGCACCAACAATGGAGCGCTTATGATGGAATTTCATTCGCCCACAGGCTTGCTGCTTCTCAGAACTTGCCAGAGGGGAAATGGAAAATGTGGGGCTTGGAGGATCCAGCTCTTGAAAGAAGGTTGTTTGCTACCAACCACGATGACCACCGTGAATGGGATGCATCTAACTGCCGCTAGGAGAGTAGATTCTTTCTAAACGGGTGCTTGAAATGGACAGGAGTTGCAACATTCCTGCGGGCAAAGTGTATCAACTAGGGTAACCCAGTAAATCTAGAAATAGGAGAACCAAACAGAGGGTGATGGGGACATTCCTCTGCAAGGACAGGAAGGAAACGGGACAAAGACTAATAAAAGAGCAAGCAAGAGGCGTGGGGAGTATATTGTTAGAAACAGGGCCCCTAAGGCTAGGTGAGAGTGGCTCTGGGCCAGGCTGCTGTTGGGCTGTTGTACCTGGGTGCTCTTGTAAGACCCCGCATTCCCACCAGGACCAGCATCTCCCCACTGGGCACTCGTGGCCCTGTGCCCGGGGGTAAACTACGCCACATGATGAACAAGGCACTGTGGGCCAGCAGATCACATGCCCAATGGTGAGGAGTTTAAAGCAGTTCATTGTGAAACAAAGCCTAGGCATTAAAACAAAAGCTACGTGAAGGCTGGGAACCCGGTGTGTCTGGTTTCCCACCAGATTCCCCTAACACCTTGGAGGGAGTGCCTCACTCTGTGTCTTCAGTCAAATATATGTAGAAAAAAAATGAATAATTAATCAATATGCTATGAAACTATAAAATAAACTCAGTATCACCCATGGAAAGTTCACGCTTGATCTGGGCAGGCTGGGCTACAACCTTCCTTGACCATCCATCATGAATCTCTCACTCGTGTGGTGAGATCATATAGTGCTCACGGGGTTTCTGGCATTATTCTAAATGTGTGACACATATTAACTTATTTAATCCATTAAAATCCTCTAAGATAGTATTATTATCATTCCCATTTTACAGATGAGAAAGTTGAGACATACCCCCTGCCCAAGTTTCCACAGCTAGTCTGTGACATCATCTGGTGCAGCAAATGCGGCTGTGTATAAAATTATGTTTTTAATTGCTATGATACTATATGGCTTCACTTTAAGGAAAAAAAAAATACGAGAAGTTCCAAGCCACAGACCAGGCTCTATTTTACTCACTGATGAACAACTGAAAGCTGATTAAAGCTAGCAATTTTAGCTTCTACAGTCCTTAGAGGCGCAAGTACTATCCCCGTTTCATGGATGAGAATTGTAAGATCAGAGAGGGTAAGTGGATTTCCCAAGATCACACAGCTCAGTAAGTAGCAGTCCTGAGCCTCAAATAGCAATTTGCGACACGAAGAGCTCTTAAATGTGATCACTGTGCTATGACATTATAAAATGTATTGTGTCCTTAGTTTCCCATGTCTGAAAACTAATGGCTCTTCCCATGATAGGCGTGGAAAGAGACGAGGCCATGCACCTATGGACTGGTGCTGGCTTTTCGGGCAGCAGCTAGACCCCGACAGCTGCCACGTCCCCTCTGGTTGCTGTCGAGGTCACCACTTTCAGAGGGTGCAGCATTCAGTTTCTGCAACAACCAGGTTCCGCACAAGTAGACACTAAGGACACTCTGCTCACCCTTTGGTGATTTCTGACAGATGGTACCCCTGCAGATACTCGCAGCATCTACCCTTTGGCAAAGCTTCTGAGAGCGGAGTGTGGGAAGCACCCTCATCTTCCCCGGACCCAGGACCCTTGGGCACGTTGCTCAGCATGAGATCTGCTGACAGACATGGTTCCAGAACCTTCCCTGGGCAGCTTCTACTTGTCCAGTTCTTGGATTCCTCCAACACCCTCACACTGTCTTCAATGCCCTGGAAACTCAGAGCAATCCGATAGGGAGATGAGGGGGACTCGAATTCTATGGATGGGATCCTGAGGACCAGAGCTTACATGGTCTTCCCAAGGTCAACAGCTCGGGATGACAGGGCAGGCCAGACCCCAGGGTACCCGTTTTCCATCCAGAGCACTTACTTTTCAATGCACTGTCCCTCTACCCTCTGTCTCTAATAAAGGAACAACACAGGTTTGGGTGAGAGAGAGTAGTGTTGCTGCCATGGAATTGGATTATTCTTATGTGGTGTTTTGACCAAGAAAACCAGAGATGCTAAATCTTGTCCTATAAATTGACCACCACCTTCTGACCCCGATCCAGGGAAATGCACAGGCCAAGGCCATGACGATGGAACACAAACATTGTTGGCTGAGCCTTGTTCCCACAGTGCCTGCTTGCAGCTCAGTGCACTGTGCCCCACGGAGGGCATTTCCTGAAAATGGCCGAGAATTCCATCTCATTTCTCAAAGAATGAGCTCATACCCTCAGAGGCCTGGGTCTGTAACACAGGCTGTGAGAAGGGAAGTTTTGGGGGGTGTTGTAAAGAAGGGAGAGGACTGACCTCAAGCCCATATGAGAGTTAGTGCTCACCCCAATATCTGTTTGCCACTGCTCTGGTCTGTGTGTCCTGAATGGGTATCCACTTCTGAAACTACCCTTTTACAAAGAGCCTTTTATTTCTCCATAAAAAAATAACTTAAGGGGCACCTAGGTGGCTCAGTCAGTTAAGCGTCTGACTCTTGGTTTTGGCTCTGGTCATGATCTTGGGGTCCTGGGACCGAGCCCCGCATTGGGCTCTGCACTCAGCAGGAAGTCTGCTTGAGCTTCTCTCTCTCTCTCCCTCTGCCCCTGCCCCCGCTCACTCTCTCTCTCTAAAATAAATAAATAATTCTTTAAAAAATAAACTTAAGTACTTTGTAGAAAAATCAGAAAAACAAAGAAAAAGTCGGTAACGCCGAAATACAACCATTAACACTTCGATTTTTCTTTCATCATGTTTCTTCCCAAATCTACACCTGTTGTGATATGTGCAAATTCTCAATTTGCACGGAGGATACCATATGTATTTGTGTGTCTGTTTCCACTCAATATCTTGAATTTCTCCCATATAACCAGAACTTCTTCAAAAGTGTTTTAAATGTATAAAACCTCCTTGCAAAGTTGTGCCATAATTTAACCACTCCCCCATTGCTGAATATTTAGCAAAATTGGTTCCATTTTAAGGATCGTGTCTTGCTATAACAGCATTACACAAAAGTCTAAATTCCTCCCTATTTCCTTAGGGTAGATTTCTAAAAGTACAATGATCCCATCCAAGGGTTCACAGCTTTTATAGCTGTTCATAATTGAGCCAGTTTTTGGAAAGCCCAAGCTGCCCTCACGGTTCTGACCTCCTCTGAGATTCCCCAAGGGTCCCCCTTCTTGGTCTCCAGTGCCCAAAGTCTCACAGAGGCCTGCAGGCTCTGCTGATGAGAAAGGGGCCCCTATTGTTACCCTGCTGGGGTTCAATGCCACTTGGCTCTCACAGAGACACACTTAAAGCCGCACAGCTCCAGGTTTGATGAGGCACAGAAATAACGAGTTCAGTGGGAAGACAATAGTCTCGGAAAAGCCACACGTCTGCAATTCAGGGTGGGCACTTGAGGAACACTCACCTGATAAGTAGCGATCGTTTCTCTGTCCAAGGTCCGTGTCACGGAGACGCTACCTGTGTTCTCATTGATTCTGAAAATTCCTTTAGGCTCTTGATCCACTCCCTTTCCAGTGAGCCGGAACTTGGACCCTTCCGGTCTGTCACTATCGACTACCTGGTCAGAGAAACAGAATGACATTTAAGACTCTGGCTGGAAAACACAGAGAAAGCACATTTTCAGTATAACTCAGTGACCAATCCACTAATCACAGGTGCCGGCGGCCAGATAAACCCGACTAAGGCAGCATCACCAAAAATAGCATCATTGCTTAACACCTTTCATCCTGACATGCAAATCTTTGCGGCTTACAGCTGGGGAAACTTTCCAGCATGGTGGGAGGGGGACGGACATATAGGGATAGATCTAGATGGGAAATCACTCCAGGACATTCAAGATTGGACATTCTTATTGTTACTCTCAAGAAAAAGATTTTTTTTTTTTTTTTCCTGCAAGCCAGACCAAATAGACAATGGGAAAAAAATGAGTGGGCAGTCCTGTAGTGGGCAGGCATTCACCGAAGTTCTAACTATTTACAAAACTCAGTCATCAGCAATGTCACCTGCACTATTGCTTCTGGGTAGCAGGCCCGATGCTCAGGAAGCATTTTTTTTTTTAAGATTTTATTTATTTATTTGACAGAGAGAGACACAGGGAGAGAGGGAACACAAGCAGGGGGAGAGGGAGAGGGAGAAGCAGGCTTCCCGCTGAGCAGGGAGCCTGATGTGGGGCTCGATCCCAGGACCCTGAGATCATGACCTGAGCCGAGGGCGGACACTTAACGACTGAGCCACCCAGGCGCCTCTCAACATTTTAACTCTAACAAGTTCAGCAACGACAGCAAGAGGCTCCTAGGTGTTGAATGCAAGAGTGCACGAGAAGGTATTCTCTGTACTTGAGATATTTCTTTTCTTTTAGATTTTATTTATTTATTTGACAGAGAGACAGCAAGAGAGGGAACACAAGCAGGGGGAGTGGGAGAGGGAGAAGCAGGCTCCCCGTGTAGCAGGGAGCCTGATGCGGGGCTCGATCCCAGGACCCTGGGACCATGACCTGAGCCGAAGGCAGACGCTTAACGACTGAGCCACCCAGGCGCCCCGCTCAGGAAGCATCTTACACACACTTACACACCTAAAAAACCCTCCCACCAGTGCTGGTGGTGTTAGGGGACATTATCATTTGTACTTCATGGATGAAGCCACGGTCAGAGCTGCTAAAGAGATGAAGACGGGATTCAGAACCCACCTCCTGTTTCTATAGGGACATTGCTATGCAACGTTGACACTTCTGAATTTAAGATAATTCCCTACAGGTTGTCAGCCTTGCTTTGACATTTGAAGAGAATTCAGGTGATAAGATGCAGGAAGATGGTTCTGGCAGAGGGAACAGCACAGACACAGGCAGTGGGCCCGCGAGGGGGAGCCTACACGACTCCAGAAACGGGGAGTCATTAGCATGGTTTGAGGGAGGTTGAGGGGTAATTAAGAGACAAACTATGTTTGTTGTTTTTTTTTAATAGTGTTTGAAGATTCCCAGCTAAAGAGAGAACCATTATTTGCGTGAAGTGGTTCTTGAGTTTGTCCAAGGATTCGTGTATATTTAATGTCACTTTATCATCAATATGTGAACATGAATTCGATGGTAACAATTTTTTTTCCCCCGCCCCCACCCATGGTAACAATTTAAAGGTCACCTGACCACAGTAGATATTCAGGACAGACAGCAAAATGAAAGCTGATACTGATCCAGCTGTAACCAATTTACAAATGACCAGGCACCTATTGGAACACTGTCACCCGTGCCTGAGGGTTTTGGGGGACAGGACAGGAAATGCGCTTTCTGGTGGGATCAGTCTCCCCTAGACCCCATCGCTGTGGCGGCCATGCCTGCAATTCCGATGTCTGCCACCAGGTGGCAGTGGAGCCTAAGGCAGCATGACCCTCATGCCCAGGTTCCTCTGCTGTGACCAGTTGACAGACCTGACACAGTTCCATAGAGCAGTGTTGTTGTTGTTGTTGTTTTGATTTAAAATTTTACTTAAATACATTGAGGATTTTGATTAAACACCAATTATCTCTGTTTGCATTTTTAAGATTAACAAAATATCATCTAAAGCAAGACTAAAAATAAGGCATGTGGTATCTTCTGATGAAAAGAGTTTTTTGGGCGCCTGGGTGGCTCAGTCGTTAAGCGTCTGCCTTCGGCTCAGGTCATGATCCTGGGGTCCTGGGATCGAGCCCCGCATCGGGCTCCGTGCTCCGCGGGAAGCCTGCTTCTCGCTCTCCCACTCCCCCTGCTTGTGTTCCTGCTCTAGCTATCTCTCTGTCAGATAAATAAATAAAATCTTTAAAAAAAAAAGAAAAGAGTTTTTTAATCACTGCTTGACTTGATTTAATCCAACTGACATTCTCCCCATGACCCACTCCCTCCTGCTGGGGAGCTCCACGGGGTCAACAGCCTCAGCATACTGGGATCACCCCGGGATCCCAGTGCCTGGCATACGGCCGGAACCAGTTCCAATATCTATTTACTTTAGGACACCACTGTTCAGACAAGCATAGGCTCTCATCCTAGCTTGGCCAGTGGGCAGCTCTGGAACCTGGGACGTGGTTCTTTGCCTACTTAGCTCTCCATTTCCTCATCTGTAAAAATGAGGAAAACACCGCTCATGTCCCAGGGTTGCTGAGGGTTTAATGAGATAGTGTGTACAAAGTGCACTTCTTGGCTCACAGAAGGTACTCAATGAATTGTAGCTAACGATCACCATACTGAGAGTAATAATCACAGCAAAATCACACCGACACCCCTTCGTTGTCATTGGGTAAGACGGGGACTTCCAGGCATAAAAAGAGCATGTTAACCATAGTATTAAAGAAGAATCCCTTTCTATTTATTTATTTATTTATTTATTTATTTATTTATTTGGGAGAGATAGAATGAGAGAGAGAGAGCACGAGAGGGAAGAGGGTCAGAGGGAGAAGCAGACTCCCCGCCGAGCAGGGAGCCCAATGTGGGACTCGATCCCAGGACTCGAGGATCATGACCTGAGCTGAAGACAGTCGCTTAACCAACTGAGCCACCCAGGCGCCCAAAAAAGAATCCATTTCTAAGAGAGCAAATTTCCTTTCAAAACACAAGACTTACAAACATCTCTGGTTTGAGACGAGAAGTGCTCTGGAAACAGGCTTACTGTGGGAAGGGGCCACTGATCAAAATCTGCCTTCTTTGTCACCTCCCTGTTTACTCCCCCTTCCTCCCCCCTTTTACCACTTCAATGTGGATTAAAACCTCTTCCTCTTGCTCCCCTGAGCACACTTAAGGTAGGCAGGTCCTATCCAAAGGCCGTATTAAGTCAGGACACAGTGTGACGGGAAATGAACATGGGCAATCTACACGAGCTGTGGTGCTGCCAGGAGTGGACTTCTGACCCCATCTGTGTACCGGACACAGCTCACTGGTGAAGCCCTGCCAGGGGAGGTCTTCTGTGCTCTGATCTCCTTTCTGGACACTGCCCTGCTCAGAAAGGGCTGGGAGTACAGCCTTCCAGACTTTCTAGAAGGCACACAGTCAGAGATGGTCCTGAAGGCCCTCTTAGGGCAAATATGGCCACCCTCCCATTTCTGTTTGCCCCTTACCACTGAGTTCTGGACCCAGAAATCCCCCCAGAGCCACCTTTCCTCCTGCCATTAAGGTCAGTTCTGGGTCATTTCCTTGCTCTCAGACAGCTTGAGCCACCTGACCCCACAGAAGCAGGGTCTTGGCTGCTGGATTTAAATGACTTCTTTGCAGAGAAGAAGGAAGTCCTGCTGTGATCACCTCTGCTTTGTGCTGCATGACTGACTCCCCTCTCTCTCAATATTTCTGTTTTTAAAGGCTTGGCTTTTGACAGATCTACTGAATCTGCCTCCCGGTCCTCAGAACCATGTCCACTTTGAAGGAGCGCCCACAGCCACACCAAGTATGGCACCCCAGACTAATGAGCATTATGGGGCCACCAGCCCAGGGACGTGTCTCAAGATGTGGTTCCCTGGACCAGCATGGGCATCACCTTGTTAGAAATGCAAATTCCCAGGCCTCACCCAGAGCTCCCGAATCAGGAACCCTGGGGATGGGGCTCGGTGACGTGGGCTTTGACAAGTGCCCTGATAATTGCGACGTACGCCACAGTTTGAGGACTACTGATTTAGACAGATTTCAGCACCATCCATACCCACATTATGCTGACAAAAGGCTGGGTCTGTTTGCTACTCCTCTCTAGACCTATTTTAAACATATGACACCATTAGGAACTCTAATTTAAAAACCTGTTTTCTAGAATGTCAGTAAAGCAGAGTTGCTACTTCCCCAAGACTGACATCTCCAACTGCGTCCAAACACCCTACGGTTTGGAGAAACCTTGGAGGGGAAAGCATGGGGCTGGGGGTTGCGTTCCAGGGAAAAGCCAGGAGTCCTGGCCCGGTTGAGATTTAGGAATCACCCACCATATCTCCGGCTTCTGGGTCCCCAGCTGGGACTTCAGAGGGACCCCAGCCCACTCCAGCCTCACTGATCTGGGGAGAGAGCAGGTGTGCAATGGCCACAAACCCAAGGAGGCCTTGAGCCACACATCGGAGCTATCCCACGCTAGTCAAGAGGGTTTGCAGACGAGCTTTATTACACTATGCTCCTCTCGGGAAAACTACCCTGTGCTACTCCAGGGCTGTGGCCCCAGGGGGGTAGTCCTTTTGTTGTTGTTTAATGTGATGGGATTTAAGAAATCCAGGGCACTCCTTCTGGTCAGAACAAATCCTGCTGTGAGTCTCTGCTCCTATAGCAGCTGTTAACACCCATTATCCCACATAGCAGGGCTTCACAATTAGCTGGTCTCTCCTATTGGTCTTTGTAATTCAGCACTTCTTTTCACAGTGGGATTTTTTTTTTTTTTTGCCTTCCTTACTTATCCTCTGAGTTTGAATGGAAAAAACAAAAAACAAAAGACATAGCTAATGATGAGAGAGAAAGAACTCTGCCCCTGGGTGCCAACAGCCTTAAAGGCATGTGAATAGCACACAGGCATCTTGCTACGTACCTGGGTAAAGTGACTTCCTAGGTAGCCATGGGGCGGCCAGCATACCAGC